GGCTTGGAGAGTTGCCAGGCTGATAGCTTCCAAACGCCAGGCTGTAGCAGCAATTACTTGGCAAGAAGTCAGGAACAAATCTTCAGACTAATTAAACAAACTAATTGCCTCCTGCAAACCCCACTCCCCTTTTGCTCCTCTTTTATTCCCTATGGGAGGGGCCATTCACTGTCCACCTGTGCCTTTACTCCTGAATCTGCCCTTGTTCCTTAGCTGTTCCCTTCTCCTGGCAGCTCTGTGCATGCACAAACTGGGAACAGTCTCCAGCTGTTCTTCTGCCCCACCGATCTCCAACTCCAAAGGCAGCTGATAACTGTCAGACGGTCCTGGCCCCATCTCTGCCTCCGATGCAGAGCCCTCATTAGAGCCTTCCCCAGACTCCAGGACTGGCCCAGGCTCCTCCCCACCCCCCTCACTGTCTGAGTCTGCCGCCAGCTCCGTTGGCTACTGGCAGGCCACAACATCTGTCTCTCTCTTTCTCTTGAATGCTGGTTTCGGGCTTTCTGGGACAAACATCCATTTCCACCATCCATTGGTGCTAAACGAATTGGGCACCGTGTGTTTGTATGTGTGTGTTAAATGGAGCACGGCCTGATCCGTTACTGTAATAACGGGACCCAAATAGTAGCGCTAAGAGATCCTCTTTGTCCTGTGAATCCTTCTTGCTGCATCCTGTGGCACAGTCTGGAGAGGTCACCTCCCTCTTGGGGACACAGCATGCTAGATCCTTTGCAAACAACCTAAATTCTCCTTTGGCTTGTTCAGATGCCAGATGGGCAGCTGTGCTTCACTCCCCTGCAAAGTGGAGGAGGTTTCATGTGGCAGGTCACTGCTCTGGCCCCAAACTCCCTGTGCCACCAAGATTTTTGAAAAAGGTCCCTTTGATGGATGGAGAGGCTGCCTGCTGCAAAGCAATGCCAGATTCTAGCAAACAAGTGTGAGTCTAGTGGTTAAGGGACCGGGTTAGAAAGCAGGAGATTGTGAGTTCAAGTCCCGCTCCGGGAGATTTGGGGCTAATAACTAGGAGACGGTGAGTTCTAGTCCTGCCTTAGCCATGAAAGCCAGTTGGGTTGTCTTTGGACCAATAAACAGGAGATGGTGAGTTCTAGTCCCGCCTTAGTCACGAAAGCCAGTTGGGTGTCTTTGGACCAATAAACAGGAGACGGTGAGTTCTAGTCCCGCCTTAGCCATGAAAGCCAGTTGGGTGTCTTTGGACCAATAAACAGGAGATGGTGAGTTCTAGTCCCGCCTTAAGCCACGAAAGACAGTTGGATGTCTTTGGGTTTGTCCCTCTCAGGCCAACCCACATCACAGGATTGTTGTTGTGGAGAAAATAGGAGAAGAAAAGTGTGTTGGATATATTTACTGCCTTGAATTATTATTTAAAAGATGGGATATAAACAAATAATAAAGCAAGGCGGTGGCACCTTTAAGGCGCTTAAGAAAACAACCAGAGAATCCAGGGCTTGTTCAGCAGAAACAAACCTTGGAACTGCTGGTGGGTTCTCAGTGCTTAAAGGGATCCTGGATGGTCACATGTCAGAGAAGCTGTAGCAGTGCTGCGCTCTGCCAGGAGTTGGACTAGATGACCTTCAAGCATCCCTGCACTCTGGGATTCCAGGTCTCCATTGGACGGCAGAAACTAGACGGCTGACTCGATGGCATTGAGCCAATCTTCTCCCAATAGAGAAGCGCGAGCCTTCTTTTTCCCCGAGGTCCGTTCTCCTAAACTTCAAATTGGATATCGAGAGGGGCATCTGCATAAATATTTTAAATAAATAAATAGATATTTACTGCTAATCCGGGTTGGGAGATCAAGTCGCTTTTCTACCCACAGCTCAAAACAAAACAAAACTAAACTACAAGAAGTCCTGCCAAATGTTTACACTCATAACCTGACAAACAATCCAAGGGGTTTGTTTTGACTCTGGAGGTGACATCCTGCTTTCCTTGAATCCGTGGCTCCATGCAGAGTCTGAACAATGCAAGGTTTCCTTTGAAGCTGCAGGGCCACGCCGCCACACCTTCCTTAAGAATTGGGCAGGTCCACCTCCACTGGCTGAGTTGCCTTTCCCTCAATGATGTCACTCTTTAAGTGACAATCTTACTGGATTTAATTCAGGAAGTGACAGAATTAAGAGTTTCTTTGTAATCCAGGCTGCAGTGGGTGGGCGAGTGTGAAACCTGTTTTCTTTTAGGATCTAAAACCTTGGCCCCTTTAAGATGGGTGGACTTCAACTCCCAGAATTCCCCCAGACAGCATTGTTTCTCAGCCTTGGCCCTTTAAGATGGGTGGACTTCAACTCCCAGAGAGTTACTGAATTCTGGGAGTTGAAGTCCACTCATCTCAAAGTGGCCACGTTTGATAAACATCGATTTAACCAATGAATAAATATAAGAGCAACCTACTAGAGTAGAGTTCTCCAAACGTGGCCGCTTTAAGACTTGTGGACTACAACTCCCAGAATTCTCCAGCCAGCATAGCTCGCTGGAGAATTCTGGGACTTGAAGTCCACAAGTCTTAAAGTTGCCAAGTTTGGGGACCCCTCTACTAGGCTGCCTTGTTGCAACTGATAAAAGTTCATAAAACATCTTTGCTGAAAGCATGGTACAGCACATCAGTGGCTTAATTTATCCCTGCAGCTGGAGAAACACCCATTATTTCAATTTGGGTGGCAGTGCCGAAAGAAGAAGAAAGTCCAACTAAAAGAACATGGTAATAATTAAAGGCTTGAGTTATATGAGATTCATATCCCAGTCCATTCTCATTGAGGGAATGGCTTTGGGTCAGCCCAAATTATCTCTCAGGGTGGTGACAGTTGAAAAGCAGGTTAATTGATTGACTCAGGTGTGCTACCCCATGTACATATTAGCTTCAAAGTTTTTTTTTTTAAAGTAATATTTGCAATTAACAGTGCAGTCCTTGGGAGGCATAATAAGATTATTAACAATTCTGGCCTTATTAGGGAAAAATTACAGTGTAAAACCATCTGCCAATGTACTTAAATAAACTTTTAACAAATCAGGTGGTTAAAAAAATGAGGTGGTCATTGCTTTTAATTTTGGCATCAAGAGCCTGTTTCATATGGAAAATTTGAGCCATTTTTCTAAAATTCAGAAGAAGGGGGCCCAAGAGCTGCACATTTCATGCCTCACAAAGCTATGTAGAAAGAAGCAGATAAAAATAGAAAGGATAAGATGGTGATGGGTGCCTATTGTAGTAAATATAGAAAAATACGACAAATAAAATCTTAGCCGCACAGAAACATTCTTTAGTTAGCAACATAAATATTGAGCTCAATTGTGGCTGTAAGTTGAGGACTACTTCATAAATAATCTTTTACGACAATAAAGGAGTGAGTTTGAAGGGAAAGAGGCTAATCCTGTACCTTCACTCCGAGACTTTAGAGCCTGTTTTTTCAATAAAGTGAAACAATCTTTTTAATTGCTCTCTATGCTTAGGGCATTCAGCGTTCTTCCCAATTTACTAGGGTTTCAGTGTGTTAATTCAGCACCACATCAGTATGTCTAAAGAGCTGCTTTCTGTTCTCCCCAAAAGGCTATTAACCATAAAGAGAATTGTAGGACGAGCCCAAATCATATGTGTGTCTAAATAGGATGGTTTTAAGATATAGTGATTTTTCAAACTGGACAATTTTAAGATGGGTGTGGATTTCAAATCCCAGAATTCCCCAACCAGCCATGCCGACTGTTAGAAAGGGTAGTTATGGAAAGAAGGGAATTAAGATGTAATTTTAAAGAGAGAGGGTAAAGATATAAATCTGTGATCACTCAAAAAGATTTCAAGCTGGTTCTTTATCGTTTTTCTCGTTTCTGTTTCTTTTCATTTCTGTTTCTACTTTCTTATGCATTCCATCTTATTTTCTTCATTGCTTTTTTAATTTTTGCATTGTTTTTATCTCATTAAAAACTTCCTCAGTTAATGTAAATTTTGCTGCCATCTCCTTTTTCACCCCACACTCCAAGTGTACAGGATTTCATTTTAAATATTTTCCTTTCTGATAGGATGCCATTTCTCATTTCAGTTTTTCACTGGCTGGGTTCACACAACATTCTAGACTAGGATAAAAAAAGTAGTTGTATGTTGTAGGGAAGCAGCCATTGTCTTAGTCTGGGGTGCAAAGTGGGGTGCAAACCATAAACCGTCGTAAGTTTTATTTCTTTGGGCATCCCTGGTGAGATCACAATCTTTTAACCCCTTGTGGGGTGGATTCTGGGCAACCAAATGAAGCTGAGTGTTTACTGGCCCGATGCCCTTCCTGTCGCCAGGGCGGAGTTTTATTCAGCGGATATATATTCTCATCCTGCCCAGAGAGAGAAATATCTGCCTCTCCCTAGGATCGAACTCACAGCCTCCTAATTGTGAGGTGAGAGCGCCACCTCTACCACACCACTCAAGATGAGATGAACTGAGCAACTGTTTGCTCCACTCACTTTGGGGTTTATAGCGTGTCGTGTGAACCCCATCCGTGTCAAGATTTGGCAAGCGCAGCCAAATCATTGCTCCTTTAAAAGATGAAATAACATTTTGCGGTAAAGGTTCCCCTCGCACCTACGTGCTAGTCGTTTCCGGCTCTAGGGGGCGCTGATGCTCATATCCGTTTCAAAGCCAGAGAGCCAGCGCTCTCCAAAGACGCCTCCGTGGTCACGTGGCCAGCATGACTAAACGCCTTCGAAGGCACACGGAACGCTGTTCCCTTCCCACCAAAGTGGCCCCTATTTTTCTACTTGCATTTTTTACGTGCTTTCGAACTGCTAGGTTTGGCAGAAGCTGCTGGGACAAGGAACGGGAGCTCACTCCGGTATGTGGCGCTAAGGGTTCGAACCGCCGAACTGCCGACCTTTCTGACTGGCAAGCTCAGCGTCTGAGCCAGTGCCTCCCTCCTAGGTAGCCTTTAAAAGTGCTTCTCAATTACCAGAAAGTGACACCGTGCAGGCACTGACCCGTCACTCAACATTCTTGTATATTCCTTCTCTAGTTGTCCTTGCCCAGCAAGTGACGGTCCACCATGAGGTCACCGGGTTCCTGGGGAAGAAAGTGGTTTTGCCCTGCAGTATTGCGCTAACTGGGCCTGACGTGAAGCTCAGTCAAGTGACCTGGGTGAAGGAGATCGGAGGTCGAAGGCAGAATGTGGCCGTCTACCATCCGAGCCATGGACAAAACTACCCAATGGAGAAGAACAGCAGGAGGATCCGTTTCCTTGTAGACTCCTTGACGGATGCCACGCTGGTCATTGAACACCTCCTCATGACGGACGAGGGCACCTACTCTTGCGAGTTTGCCACCTATCCCTACGGCAATGAAGTCGGCACCACCAACCTGATCGTCTTAGGTAAGACTTGCTGTGATGCCCCTGTCGGAAATCTGATTCGGAGGGGGAGGCCGAGCAGCTGACAGGGAGTGGGAGTGTGGCTCCGTTGGCTGTGGAGGAAACTGGGGAAAGGCAAAGTCCGGCTGGGCAGAGCAGGGGAGAGGGGGAACAAGGGAGAGGGAGTTCAGAGGAAGACCCAGGCCCATCCCCTCTTCATCCTAGGGCACGCAGGGAGGAACGGAGGAGGGAGCAACATGAGTTGCATGGCTTACAGGGGAGGAAAGGGCCCTGATTCCCTTCATTAGCTGCAGCTGGGAACACAGTGTTTAAAAAGGGAAGCTGCACGTAACAAGTTGTTGGGAGCAAATCGTGAATTTATTTGGTATCGTCGTGGCTTATCTGTGTTCCTGGTGTCTTCCCAACTGTGTTGAGTTTTGCCATGCTTTCAAGTCTGAAATTCCTTCACCTGCCCTGCCAAACTAATTACTTCAGTTTGGCTTCTTTGGACTTTAAGTTACAGTTTGTGTCAACCATGTTTTAGACTGAATTCTGTGCAGACAAAGGCTGTTCCTGGGAGAGTTTTTCTCCTGCCAGAAGATAACCTGGACATTGAGGGCAAAGTTGGAGATAATAACGGGATTCTTATTGCTTATCTGACTGTGTTGCCCTTGTGCCACGCCCCGGGTCATCACAGTTGCTTTCCATCAGCAGGTGAAAGCCCTCCGGCTAACACTTTGCAAGGTTCACACACACACACACACACACACACACACACACACTCCCAAACGAAGTTGTGAAACTCTGAGTTGCAGTTCATGGAGGAGCTCATAAGGCATGTGAACCTGTATGGGCAAGGGTCTTCAAACTTGGCAACTTTTGAGACTTGTGGACTTCAACTCCCAGAATTCCTGAGCTAATATGACTGGAGGAGGAATTCTGGGAGTTGAGGTCCACAAGTCTTAAAGCTGTCAAGTTTGAAGAGCCTAGCTGTAGGGGAACACAGAGGTGTAAGGTGAATGGCAGCCATTGGTAAAACATGAGCTTAGCCCAGGAAATCGGAAAAGCATGACAAAGAAGCTCAAAGATTAGCCAGCTTTGATTCTCTTTGGTATAAGAGGTTTTCAAGTACAGTATAGGTAGTTCTCAACTTACAGCAGTTCATGTAGTGACTGTTCAAAGTTACAATAGCATTGAAAAAGGTGACTTACGTCTTTCACACATATGACTGTTGAAGCAACCCCACAATCACATGGTTGGATGCTTGGCAACTGACTCATATTTATGACGGTTGCAATGGCCCAGGGTATGTTCACCTTTCCGACTTTCCGACAAGCAAAGTCAATGGGGAAGCCAGATTCAGTTAACAACTGTGTTATTAGCAGCTGCAGTGATTCACTTAACGACCGGGGCAAAATTCACTTAACAACTGTCTCGCTTAGCAATGTTGGGCTCCATTGTGGTCATAAGCCGAGGACAGCCTGTATTACAACCTAGATCAAGAAAACAGAATTTTACTATTCCTTGGGTCTGTTTCCTAATTGACTGACCCTGAAGTTGACTTTTGAATCCTGAAAAAAAATCTATATCGAATATTTTCAGCTCATACCCGGTAACATTACCCCTGTGAGTTTTATCTATATATATAAAAACGAAATACCCCTCATGCATCATCACAAAATCTCCAGAACCATAAGGCCTACAAACTTGAAATTTGGCACATATCTTCCTCTTGGCTTCTAGGTGCTCACTAAGAAAGGATTTTTCCAAATGACCACCAGAGCATCAGTATATCCTATATTATTATTATTAACAGGCTCTGATGCTAAGGAATTCTACTCCCCCTCCCCACCTGAAAAGAAATCTCTTCCGTATACAAAACACAAGAGAGGAGTTTCAGTTTCAGAGCACCAAGCAGCTTTAATATAGAACAGTTGAGCTAAGCCACGCCCAGGCTCCTTGCTGTCTTCTTGCTCACATAGCAAATACTCTTTTCAGTTTCCAAACAGCCTTCAACTCTCTCACACATTGACAGTAGGCTAGCCAGATGACTACCGATGGATGCTTGTAGGCAGAATTCTCTCCCCCCTCACCGCCTATTTTCCTCCTCAAAAACTAAGCCCAATCACATAGTTTCGTAGCGAAACACGGGTATCGAGCTAGTAATTTTATAATTTTTGAAAGGCGACACAACAACAACAACAACAATTGGTTAAATAAATGAATGGCTGTTCGTAAGCGAGAAAGAGAATTTTAAGAGGCCAACACCCACTCTTCTGAAGAACCCAGTCGGCTGCTTAAGAGTTTATTTATTTATTTGCAAAACTACCCCGGCTTTGCCCGAGTCCTCTGGCGTTGTGGGCCTTTAGCTCCCCAAATGAGTGAAGCCAACCACATCTGTTTCTCTGTACATCTGGTACTCAAGTGTTCCTGACGGTTTTGAGTGACTTCCTGGGGGCTGCTGCGCACTTGAGCAGATTTGCTAGGTCATGCATTCTAGGACCGCGAGATAGCGGTGTGTCCCCATTCTTCCAATTAATTACGGGCCACTCATTTATTGCAGGATGAACTCGGCTAATGACACTAGTAATAGGTTCTTTTGCGGAGCAAAATTAACACACACTACCCCCACACACAAAAGGCTGGAGTCTGCTCAGACCTAACACTCCTTCGGAATAATTTCTCCAAAGGTTTCCTGCAGAGATATTCAGTAAGGGGCTCCTCTTTAGAACTACGGAGAAATTTCCTGACCGTTAGAACAATTAATCAGTGGGACAACTTAACCTCCAGAAGCTGTGAATGCTCCAACACTGGAGGTTTTTAAGAAGAGGTTGGATAACCATTTGTCTGAAGTGGGTTTCTTGCATAAGCAGGGGGGTTGGACTAGAGGACCTCCAAGGTCCCTTCCAACTCTGTTATTCTATTCTATACCTTAAGAAGGCGGCTGATTTAAAATGCAAGGTTTCTGCATTTTGCAATTCTGCAGGAGCGCAGAATATGGGACCGGGCGAGGCCCTCTTCGGGAAGTGAGCTTTGCTTTTCTTACTTTAAAAAAACAAAAACAAAATGAGATAATCCTCCACTTAGGACCACGATGGGCACCGGAATTTCTGATGCTGAACAAGGCGGCTGCCCAGGGAGTCGTTCCCACGTTTTAATACCTCTTTTGCCACTGTTGTTAAGTGAATCGGGCAGTCATAAAGCCAATCTGGCTCCCTCCCGCCATCATTTACATCGGAAGTCAGCTGGGAAGGTCGCAAACGGGGATCACGTGACCTCAGGATGCTGCAACTGCCACATAAGTCCATGCCAGTTGCCAAGCTCTTTGGACCACATGACCTCAATTGTAACTACAAGGATTGGTCGTAAGTCACTTTTTTTTCCCCGTGCCAATGTAAGTCAGGACAATCGCTAAATGAACATTCGTAAGTTGAGGATTACCTGTGATGTAGAATTACATAATAATAGTAATAATAGTAATAATAGTAATAATAATAATCAGAGACGTGGAGTTATTTCTTGAGCAACGCCTGCTTGAAATTTTTGAGACCCTCTGGAAGGCTGTGCAAAAGTTTTCAGCATTTTGGGGTAGTACCAATTCATGTGGCAGCCTGTTCCACTGGCTAATAAATAGTTCAGTCAGGAAATACCTTTGGACATCAAGCCTGAAATTCCTTCCTGAAACTTTTAAGGTGTTCTTGCCTTTTGGGTAAGCAATGAATGAGACCCCACTTTTTAATCTATGTGGCAACCAGTCAGATATTTGAAGAGTGCTTCTCCTATTGACTGAATGCGATCAATGCAAGAAAGTTTCCAGGAGTCCACATTTTTGTACAACTATTTCTGAAACAAAAAGTTAAACCTCCCGAACAATAGTTGAATCCCAACCTCCATCTTATGTCTCCCCCCCTGGCCCCTGTTTTTTTTTTTTTTTTTTGACCTGTAAAACTCAGGTATCTCCTGAGAATGATTTTGCACACGTTGTAATTACAAACAATTATAGGGATTTTTGCCCTGTGCATTCTACACAGACTCGGATGCTTCTTTGCCCTGAATTTCTTATGATTACAGGGGGAATCTGTGGGAAACTTCCAAGCACCTCCCTTTCTCTTTTATCTGGAGATCCCATTCATTTTACTTCCAAGCATGGCAACCCCTCCAGGACTTTCTCTCCGAAATAGATGGTACCTCTGGGTGGGGAGATCTGGCAAATGATGAGAAAATGTTGTCCTCTCCTTTCCCTCCCACCCACCCGCCCCCCAAAATGTTGTACTTACGCTCTGCAAATTACTTGCAAACAAAGGTCCCCGGATACTATCTTTGAAACTAGCATAACTAGCTCTCTCTTCAGAGAGATTGGGTGATGCAAAGAAAACATTAGGCTCCCTTTAGAAACCCATAAGTCCTGGCCGGGAGAGGGGCATAATCCCCATAATTTAAACCAGGGGTGTCCAAGCTTGGCAACTTTTAAGACTTGTGGACTTCAATTCCCAGAATTCCCCAGTCAGCAGGCTTGGAGTTCAA